GTCATGAGCCTAAGTAAACTATAGGTTAGTTTCAATGAACTGGACAGGATTGATCTTAAAGAGCAAACTCAGAAAGATATCCTTAAATAACAATAACATATAATCAAATAAAGATGGAGAGAACAAAGTTTATAAGGTTGTTTTCTGCTAATGGACAAAAGGCAAAATGACTAATGACCTGGAAACAGCAACTGTTATAGGAATCAAGCTGAACACAAATTTATTTAAATATCCTAGACATATTTACTTAGAACTACATTCCACAGCATTACCTGGGCCTTATTCCCCAAGTACAGCACAGCATATAAAATGCAGTAAAATTGTAATAGATGGGGTAGATATATTTTGGAGAAAAATGTATGTATTTTATATATCTTAGAATCCATTATCAACTGTTTATGAAATGTCACTAAATAAAAGAGAATTTTAAAAATCTATTTCTTAACTAGAGAGCCAGTTTCGTGCAGTGGTTAAGGCACCAGGCTAGAAACTGGGAGACTGTGAGTTCTAGTCTTGCCCTAGGCACAAAGCCAGCTGGGTGACCTTGGGCCAGTCACTCTCTCTCAGCCCTAGGAAGCTGGCAATGGCAAACCACTTTGGAAAAGCCATGCCAAGAAAACTGCAGGGACTAGTCCAGGCAGTCTCCAGGAATCAAGACTGACTTGAAGGCACCAAAACAAAAAACAAAAAAACCCTAACTATCACTTATCTGAGATGCATTTGCAGAGTTTCAATAAGAATTCAGTTTGGCATAGAACCACAGAACACTGCATTCCTCTTCATTATCTTGTTCAGAAAGTAAAACAAACCAATTACAAATCTTTCCTTAAAATGTCATTTGTTTTTCATCTGTCTGGAGAAAGTCAAGAAGTGGATGAAAAGGGGAGTATTATCCATTTGCCATCAGATTCTTACAGTTTTTCCCATTTGGGCTCTGGCATTTTGGTAGACAATATTAAAACAACACGATTTGTCTTCCATCACAACTCATGTCACTACATTAGGTAGGTAAGGAATCAATACATTCCCTTTTAACTACAAAGTCTTAAACAAGAACCTTGGGTTCTTATAAACTTTATAAAACTTTAAGGTTATTTCTATACATCAAAGCACCAAATGGCACTGAAGACCAGCACTGAGCTTTATAAGCCATGCAACCAGCTAATGTTAGCAAAAACATGGCAAGCTACAGTAGTCTGGGCAACAAATCTTAAAACTGGCAGGCTTTGTTGTAGTATAGTTGCCTCTATGTTGAAAGAAGAGTGCAAGGCGACGTACTATATTTGCCAAATTTCTTTGTCAGCTTTTATCAATCGCAGCCATTTAACAGAAAAAAAATAAATAAGAAAGACACAGTTCCCAAGGCAACATAACTGACCCTTCACCAACCTCCCTTTTAGGCAATCCAAGCTCCCAGTTCCAGCGACTAGCCCAGCCTGCGATTTAGCCCTCTGCTGAAAAACAAACCGATCTCCTTCCTTTCCACACCTATTGCCCACTACCCCAAATATTGAGAGGTGCATGTCGACCCACGCAGCTTTCCCAGTTGACCCCCACCAAACATTTCCTCACTCACCCGCGTCCATCCTGCCCCCGCCCTCTCAAGCTCGGGGCACCCACGGCTGTCTCCGGACTGACACAGATCACCAAAGCGGCGCACTTTATACTTCTCATCCCATAGCGCTGCTCTCACCCAATCGCGGAGATGTTCACCACTCATCTAAGCGACGATTGGTTAGCTTCAGATGCAATGGTTTCTCCCGCTACATGGCAGGTGCCATTTTGTTGTACGGAGAGAGAAATGGTCACGCAGGGTTACTTAAATCGACCTTGCTTTCCTTCTGAAGCAGGAAAAAACGTTCGTAATTACCATTTACTGCTTTCTATCCCTCGGAGTAGTACAACTGACATATGGTATTACAGGTGTAGAAAGTGAAGGGGGGCCGCCATATTTCTGTACGGAGTATTAAACACCACCCACTTGACCCAATATGGCGCTGTCAAGTAATTCGCATCAGAGCGTTGTTTCAACAGTATCGGCCCAACCAGAGAGCAGCTGTTCTTCACTGCTTCTGGTTTGCCTGACATCAAGTCAATCGGTGAGATACAAGGGGGGAGAAGGAGAAGTAAGGAGCGTTGCTGGTGGTTGTGAGGGCCGTTTCGCTCATATACTGTACCGCCAAAGGTATATGGGGTGTGTTGAATGACAGCGCCTTCCGTACGGAAGTTACTCTGCAGGGTGTGGCGAGACCAGCTGTGGTGACTTGTCTGGCTTCGCCATCTTGTTGTACGGCTGAAGGGGGGGCGGAGAGGGGGGTGAGGCAGGGCCGCCCGTGCGGCCTCCAGCGATGGTGATCTGTTGCGCGGCACTGAATTGCTCCAACCGGCAGGGCAAAGATCCCCGGGGCCGAGCGGCCGTCTCTTTCCACAGGTAACCAGGGGGAGGGAAAGGAGCGCTCGCACCTGCCCGTCTCCTGCTTCGTGCCTCGATACGGGGCTTCTCGAGGCGCACCTTTTCGGTCGGGTAGACCGACGCAGAGCTTCCCGTTTCTCTTCCGCTCGCAGTTCTGTGACAGGCTGATGTCCCCCGAGCCAGCCCGGCTACCGTCTTCACTACCTTTTACACTCGCTTCTGGGCAGTTGGACTGTTCTTTCTCTTTCACCGACCCGCATCACTCATTGCCCGTCCCTCCCAGACAGGCCAAGTGAGCATCCCCTCAACAATAGGGGGACCAACTTTACCCCCCCCCCCGCCCCGGCGCCCACCTGCAGGCACAAAAGCCTTTTGTTGCCTTCTCATCCTTTCTCCCGTTTCTTGTCATCTGTCCACAGTTTAAGAAAATAGTGAGGGGGCTACAACTCCTGTGAAAATTACTGTACATCTTTTGGGCTAAGAGTTTGTTTTTTCTTTGGGAGCGGAAGGCAGGCACTCTATACCTGCTTGGTTATAATGTCATCAGTCCTAATCCTTCACCGCCGCTCTCCACCACGGGATTTGTAGTTGAAGCATTGACCAGAGGGGTTAAGATATGGCTCAAGCCATAGCCCTGATTTCATATATGGGACGCTGATGCATGAGTAAGCAATATTACTGTTGTTCACAAGTTTACTTGTCCTGTCTTGTCTGAGTTTTGGAAATATGCACCCACTGGAGAAAGCAACTTTTTTCAGTAGCAAATCTGTCAGTAGGTGGCTTGTGGAGCAACTGCTTTCATAGGGAGAAAGCTGAGTGTTGCTTTTCCTGTCAAGGAACATAACCTAATCACTGATTTGCTCTGAGATGTGGCATTCTTGCCAATCCTTGCAAGAGATAAATTGTATTCTAGAAATATCAACTGAATCTTGGCTGATTTTTCATTATCCAATATATATGGTTGTGTGCAAATCCATATTTAGACTAGAAAAGGAACACATTACAACTATGAGAAAATAAGCAAAAAAGCGACAGTATGGTATTCTGTTAATATAAAACAAGTGAAATGTCATCTCTGTATACTCAAACAATTATAAAGGGATTCTCGTTTTATTCTCTTTTTTTGCATACAGCAGAAAACCAAATATAGGTTTATTGTTACAGTGGATAGTTTATAAGCTTTTTTATATTTGTGTTAAATCTAAAACTTTTAACAGTTTAAACATTCAATGATAGCCATTATTTCCTGTCTAAGATTAATTTTTAAAAATACCTATGCACTTCAAAATGTGAAAGTAGTCCAAAGGTGAAAATATGCAAAATTTACTTAACTCATCTGAAGAAGTATATATATGAATTTAAGTTAAGGCTTGGAAACTTCCTTGCTGGATAGTGAGCATCAAACGAGATGCATCTAGAAATTCCCATGTAGAACACATGGACAATGTCTGGGCCTTATTTTGCTACTCAAAGCTTAATATTCTCTTTTGAAGATAGGAGTCTGCTTTAGCTATTATGGGCAGTGAATATTCCTTGGGTCCCAGATTCTTCTTCTATAATTATCTTGAGTTCTGTATTTTTATACATGTGAAATTAATTTATATTTCTGAAAAGTATTAAAAATGTATACTATTTTAAAATATGAGTTGATTAGGAATAGCCCATTGGTTTCTAATGAACCAAGGACATCTGTGGGGAGTTTCAGGTTTAATTATTTAATCCACACTATAATTAGTTTTGCTTGTCTCCATTTTTTAAAGATGTATTACAGTATTTGATTATGTCAAGTGTTTATTTTCTGGACCAAGATGGGAGGGTCTGATTGTGCAAGGATGACTTCTTCAAGAAGTCTTTTCATTGGTTTCTTTCTCCTGCTTCTTTGCTGCCAAGTGAATCTTGCATTGCTCTCCTATCCAAACTTTTGATGCTATTGGTGGATTCCATGTATTTTTTTTAAAAAAAACTGCTTTACTGGAGAACATTTTTGCTGTTTAGTGCATGTTTTGTCCCTTGTTTTGGGAAGCTATTCAATTCGGATGGGAAGCCAATGCCTTTTCCCCCAAAATAAAATTTCTTTCCATCCTAATCTAGTACTGGGAAAGATTCCATAAATATTGATGCACACTAGGAGTTCAGAAATTGTGTGTGTTTTCATACAGCTCTTTTCCCATTAGGATTACTATATTGTCAAACTGGTTATTTTAACACATGCTAAATATATATTTTTAATAATTTTTGTGTCAGAAAGTGACTTTTGTGACTTAAGTGACTTCCGACCTTCTTGACAACAGAAATTAATGAACTTATTATCCATCCTCCGTCCTTAATACTACAAAAATCCCTTCAGCCCCTTGTTTAGTTCTTTTTCAGTTATCATATCCATAAATCATCACTTCACTTTTCTCTATTTTCAGCAAAAAGTCCATAAAAATTTCCAGTCTTTTAAAAAAGGCACTTATAGTTTTATCCCTGACCAAACAGGTCAGTTTCACCATTTCTGACAATTCCGACATCTTTACAACTCATTCCTCCATTGTGGGAATTTCAGTATTCCTCCATTGTTGTGCATATAACAGTCTTGCTGTGGTTACCATATATAAAATCAATCTTCCATGAGTTTTTTCTAATTGGCTTTCCATAAGTCCCAGTAAGAAAAGTTATGGCTTCTTCTCAACATTAATCTTTAATTATTATTTTTTTTGGTATCATTGTATGTTTTGTATCCAGAATTTTCTAGCTTTTTCACAAGTTCACCATGCATGGTAAAATGTCCCTTCATGTTTTCCACCTTTCCAACATTGATTTGAGGTATCTTTATATATCTTTGATAGTTTCTCCGATGTCATATACTAACGGTACCTTATTTTATAAAAATTCTCTCTTAAATTATAACATAATGTGCATTTCATCCCATTTACCAATATATTTTAATTACTATTTTTTAAAAAGCTATTGCTAAATGATACTGCTTTTCCTTTCAATAATCAAGTATTCAGATAGTAATCCATTCATATCAGACTTGTCATTAAACAGTAAATTGGTATTCTTTACAGGCTGAGTCCTTGAATCACTAAGAATGGTATGTTAACTAAACTAATATTCCAAGCTAATTTGTATCTGTTTCTGACAGATAATTTAGTTTAGTTATCATCTTTCTCTAACAAAATATCTGCATATTAAATGCTAACATGCTATTTTTTTTAGTATTATTTTTTAATTAAGTTTAGAGGCTGCCTGACTCCAAATGCCTCTTGGCAGCTTTGCACTTTAAAAAACTAAGGAACAATAAAATAAGAAAAAGATCATGCACACCCAGAAAAAAACAACACACAAAAGGAAAACCAACAGGCTCAACAGCCACCCTACCCAAGGCAAGAAATCTGTGTTATATCTTTCTCAAATGAACTAATGAGAAGTGTTTCTGTTGAAACAAAGGCTTAGTTCCAGACATTACATCAAACCTATGATTTGAGCTTCCAAAAAAGTGAATCTGTTCTTTAGATATGCCAGTTTTCCATCATCTTAAGTTTCTGGAAGTAGAGGAATTACTGTAAGGGAATAATGACTGTAGTTGTAACATTTGTACAAGCCAATGTATTTATTTATATGTATTTGTTTACAATAATTGTTAACTTTAATTTAAAATTAAAACCACATAACACAACCTTGATGATGTCACAATTCACCCAAAGCCCTCTGGACTAACTCAATTTTAAGTAGCTTCTGGAAAACTGTTAAGGATGGAATCAATCTCACCTCCAAGGGGAGGCCATTTCAGAGGATTAGGACTACAGTATCATGGAGAAGCAATACCTTTGAGCTGATCCCCCCTCACTTCCCCAAAACGGGGCACTACTAACATTTTCTCCTGAGAGAGATAATTGATTAATCATTCATTCATTCAGACATGAGCTAGAATTATAGATCTGGGTTACACCAATCCAGAAAACTACTAGATGGCAGCAAAATGTTAGCGCTTTCTGTATCTTCTTGCTATCATCTAGTGCTTGTCATGGTTTTTGCAGCTCAGATCTGGTAGCCCTGTATCAGGCCAAACCATAGTAGGATAGTGTTAAGAAAATTAGTAGGAATTACAGGCAGAATCAAAAGCAATGGCACTTTTATTTTTAAATTACAGAATTGCATAGGTATGGCTTAAAATCAGTAGGACAGTGTAAACAAAAGAAATTATAGAAACAATGGTAGAGGGAATACCTTGGTGGGCTTCTAGTGGTCAGACGTTGCACTGTTCGCATCAATCAAGAACAATGCTAGACACAAGATTACTTATTTAATTATAAGTATTTAAAAAAGGCTCAAAGAGTATAATCAGGAAGAATTTCAAACAGTATATGTTTGTATTCAGGTAAAAATCAGTTTTAGTTCATCTCCATCTGAGCGACTTAATCTCTTCGGTGGCAGGAGAAAGATCCAGTGATGCAAGGATGCATAGAACAGTTGAAAAGCAGGGAGAGAAATTCAAGGGTAGAGGAAGAAAATATGGAAGTAAGTTTATCCTTTTTTAAAACTCAAGATGGCTATTAATGGGAAATGAGAAGAGGCTTTTTTTTCTTATGGTAGTTAGAAAATTATGTATTTCTATATGTTTTTCTGTTTGCTACATTTTAACAAGCAGAAAAACATAGAAATACACAATTTCTATAATAGTAAGTCTATTCACACTTATTTGGAGTAAGTTCCATTAAAACTGACTTCTAAATATGCACAGGATTGCATGGTGTCCTCTAACCATGATTTGCTGTAACTTGCAAATTGAGTCACAGAAATATTTAGCTTGTACTAGGTTATTGTTTTTGACACACTAAACTAGAAATGGGTGAAAAGGGAAATGTGTTTTATTTATTAAACACATTTATATAGCTACCCATGTCACTGAATGTGACTCTAGGCAGTGTACAACCAACAATTAAAACAATGTCACAACTGTTAAAAGCACTTTGAAAAATAAATAAAAACAAGATTTCAGAAGAACATCTATCTACAGTAAACACAATACAACCATTGCACAAGTTTCCCATGGGTTCTCCAACAGATGGAAGTCTACCCTCTACTTCAACATATCCAGTGAAAGGGAACATACAATTTCAGTAATTGGTGCCACTGTCAAACTGCTGTTATTGCTAGAAAAAAAGTTCTAAAATTCAATTGGAACATACTTTCTTTTGACTTTAATGCATTATTTAGTGTATTAAACTAAATTGTATTGCACTCTGGAATGATGGAGAACAAGTTTGACCTTGTATGTGACATCTTTTCAGGTACTTGAATAGTGCTATCATATTTTCTCTTAGTCTGTTCTTTTTTAAACTAAATTGACACAATTGTTTCAATCTTTCTTTGTGGCTTCTAGTACCCTGATAATTATCACTGACTTTCTCTGAATCTGTTCCAATTTCTCTGAATCTTTATTAAAGTATGATATCCAGAACTGAACACAATACTTGAAGTGGGGGTGTGACCACTGCAAAATAAAATGGAACTATAGTTCCCATGATTTGGACACTACTCCTTTTGTTGGAGCCTAAAATTTCATTTACCTTTTAGTCAGTGGCATCACCTTGATGACTCATAGTCAGTTTACAATAAACTACTATTCTAAGAAATTCTCACATATAACCAAGCCAGGTATCCTCAGTCTTATATCTGAGGACTTTATTGTAGTTTCTGAAGGAAACTTTCCATCTGACTCTGTTAAATTTCATTCTATTATTTATAGCCCATTTTCCTAACCTGTCAAAACCATTCTGAATTTTAATTCTGTATTCCTGTATTAGCTACTCTACCCAATTCTGTGTCACTTCTTACCCTGTAGTTTGATCTTATGCAGTTAATTGAATGGGAACCTTTGGGGCATAAGTTTACTTGGGATTACAAACTTAATGTTTGGCTGATGAATATTTTATTAAAATCTACTGATTGTTGAACACCTTTTTGCAAATTATTATTTCATAAAAATAGCTATTGTTTTAATAATCACTTATATGTATTTTCATTATATGTAAAGAAGCTTTAAACAATGTTTAAACAACTCAGCATCTTTATGAAATACTGCTTCTAAAAATGTAATGAATGCTACTTATATCTGTATAATATATCAAACTTTTTTAGAAAATTTAAGTTTCTTAAGCTTAACCCCATCTATAAATTTTCATGATTCCAGGAAAGAAAAAAAGAAACACATATGGTAACTTTTTTCCTTTTATACTTTTTTTAAGGTTTCCATTAAAGGATTCAAAGCGACTAATCCAGTGGTTGAAAGCAGTACAACGGGACAATTGGATTCCCACCAAATATTCCTTTCTGTGCAGTGAACACTTCACTAAAGACAGCTTTTCAAAACGGCTGGAAGACCAACATCGGTTGCTCAAACCCACAGCCATCCCAACTATATTCCAAATTTCTGAGACAAGGGGCAACAGCAGGGATTATGCCAAAAGAAAGAGAAAAATAATAACCCAGACTCTACAAAGAAATGGCAATCAATCAAATGAAGGAAGTGGGGAGGTAGTTGAGGGAATCCTATCATCTGGCCAAGACTTGTTAGTGGAAGGAACTAATGAAATGGAGCACATGACTCTTCAAGCTGAAATTGGGTCAATGTCTGAGCAAGGGGAGAGTTTCCAGGTCCAACTTGAAGGCTCTCTCAGAAGGATGTTAGCAGATAACTTAGTTACAAAAGTTACTCAGAATAAGCCAGAAAAGTGTTCTGTTGAGGACCATTCTGAAATGGTTATCCATCCAGGAAGTTTCAAAATTGATAAAAATGGTATATCAGAGGATGACTTCACACCTCCAGTGTCAGGTGCATGTAAATTTATTGGATCCCTTCATTCTTACAGCTTTTTCTCCAAACACACTAGAGAGAAATCGTCATTTCCAAAGGAACAACTAGAAAGAAAAAGGTTAAGGAGAAGTGCGGAACCAAGCTGTAGTAACAACCTTGTGGAGCAGGACACTAGGTTTAGAGAAACGTCCTCTACTTCTTCTCTTACTGCTATCCCCCAGAAATCTTCCCAAAGCATGTCTGCATCCCCTGCAGATCTGACCCCTAAACCAGCCACAGAAGCTGTAGTAGGTCAGAAGGGAGAGACTGATGCCAACCCCATGTCAATCAATGAGGTCATTATGTCTGCTTCAGGAGCGTGCAAGCTCATTGATTCCCTTCATTCATACTGTTTCTCCTCTAGGCAAAGTAAAAGTCAAGTGTGTTGTTTGAGAGAACAAGTAGAGAAGAAGAATGGAGAACTGAAGCAGCTGAGACAAAAGATCAGCCGCTCTGACAGCCAGGTTAGAAAATTGAAGGAAAAGCTGGATGAGCTGAAGAGGATAAATTTCCCATTCTTGAGCAACCTGTTGTCCCAGGACTGTGGTTAGTATTCTCTGCACTTTCACAACTGAGAAAAATTGATGGCAAAATATGCAGGTATCTAGCATACAATATGCTGGGTGTTTTTTCTTTTCAAGAAAGACCCATAGTACCTGCCTCTTGCCATATCTCCTGCCTAGCACTATCATGATCTTCATTTCTTCCCCTATATCCTCCTCCAATTCTCTTGTTCTCAAGCCCTGGTCCTGCCTGCCTAGAGAGGATTCTCACTCTCTCAGTCCTAATTTTCATTATATCATTCATACCTTCCAACTCTCTACACTTCTCACCCATTAACAACCCCATGCCCTTTCCCCACCATTTGGCTGCCCTTGATTGAGTCACTCAGCAGCCACTACTAGTTCCAGCAATCTCATCTAAATGTCCACTAATCACCTTAATCCCAACCAAGGTCAATTATATTTCCAATCTCCCCAAATAGACTTGATTCTCATTCAGAGTTGGTGGGGCACACCAGCCTTGACTTCTCATTTCCAAAACCTCTGATCATTCTCTGTCTCACAAATGGAGAGAGGCATACATCCAAACCATATAGTCCCACTGTTGTCAACTCTTTCCTTCTCTTTCCTTTCCTTCTCTTCCCCTAGCCTCACCTCAAATGGATTGTTTTTTGAAATAACCTATAGTCCCAAGACAACACCCCATCACCTTTCCAAAACCAGTCCTTTGTCACCAGCCAATGGTCCTCATGGAACAGTTCAGGTTGTGATTGTTTCCTAGCTGTCTCCTCCTTGTTCAAAGGTGGCAGGCAATCAGATGAACAATTCTGGTGGATATACCCACCCAAGTCAGTCACAGGGCTTGAGCAAGTGACAATACTCTGTCCAAAAGGATGGATCCTGCTTCTGCTGCCTATAATGGTCTACTGCAGCACACCAACATCTGGGCCATTCATACCACCTTCACCAGCTGTCTTGCTTTCATTCCATTTTCACTGTTCTTCCCACTCCTTGCATGCCATCAGTGTCCTCTACCACAGGGTCTTTTCCAACACAGCAATCTCAAGCTTAACCAATGCTCTCACCTAGATTTCTTTTGCTGCACAAAGTCTCAGTTCCTCCTTCCCTTCCATTTTATCTCCAACTAAGTTCTTCCCTCTCCAACAAGCTAACATGCTAATGCTTCCATGTTCTCATGCATCCATAATTCACTAGCTCACTTTCACTAACCTTAATTTCTTTCCACTTCATGCTGCTATACAATTACCACCTCCTCAGTATGATCTTATTAATATTTTCTCACGTTTGAATTCCAGAAATTAATATCACTTGATTAGTATATTATTTCCTAAGAGATAAAGTTAATTCTGTTTGACCTGGAGGCTTGGCTTTCAAGTTGTGGAATGTAAATATGGGTCATGAAAAAATATAACAACCAGCATTTGAACAAAGTTTCAAACATGAATTGTACCCAAAATAATAATCTGGGGAAAAAATATCTTAAATGGTGCAAACTCTGTCATTTCTTAGATCCGCAGAACAAATGACAGGTACTGTCAGCCCTGCAAAGTAGACCAGACTAAGAAACAATGCTATATAGGTCAGGACTACTTTTATTGTATCAGCTGTAGTTACAGAATCTTGCAAGTCTGAATGTGCTTCCCCCCTCCTTCACTTTATCTTGATGTGAATTAGAGGCTTGTTTGAGACGTTTTCTCAGATTAATTTCCTGGCCTGGGCTCATTCCCCACTTATCTGACTATTGCCTTGGTAACAGTCCTCCTATCCTTCAAGTCCATTCCCTATACTCTCTACAGGAACGCTGCATATTTAGTAATGCAAATTTGCTAAAGCCTACAAACAAGGCTAAGTGAAGGCAGGCCCATAACCTTCCAATTGGGAAAAGGCAAATCCTGCCTTTCACTCCTAATATTGAGGTAATCAGCCACAGGAGCCAAGTTTTTTTTTCCTGATAGTAACTTAAAACAGCAGTTCCCCTTGATGAACGTGGGACAAAAGTAAAAGATGGTTGAAATGAGGTCAGAGCACTTTCCTTGCCTCCATTCCAAGACCCCCTAATGAGGTCTGTAGTGGGTATTCTTTGTCCCAATTTCAATTATATCACCTATTACAGCTGTTATCTCAAAGAAATCAGTGGAAGCCAGTGCACTTTAAGGTAAAAGAACAAGTAATACATTTGAATTTAACAACCTTGGCCAGGTTGTGGTGAAGGCATTTAGAATTATTATATAAAATGAGTTAACCACCAAACAGTTATTGACTATTGTAATGATTTGAGCATTACAATGAAATAATCCTTACTGATGTAATGTTTTAATGATTTACTAAACTATAGCTTTAGTTGTGTTGTATGTGCTATACAGAAGAACAGAGTTCATACTTCTGATGTGCGATTATTGTTACTTATTATTTGTCTCATGAAACAAAAAGATGCAAAGGGTTTTGTTTTTGGTATTTTGTAGAGGAAATTATGTACTCATTTCTTTTGTATCGGGTAACAGTTGTTGCCTGCTTTCAGATTTGTATATACTGTTTATTCTGGATGTCCTAATTTCTTACCTAACCCATTTAATTTATTTTTAAAATGTGGTACAATTTGATGGGGGTGAGTTGTCTGTCTATTTGACAAAATTTATATCCTGCCCCAATCCTGACAGACTCTGAAAAAAAAAACCCAAGGCAAAACTTTCAAAAGAAGAAAACGTGGATAACATTTAAAACCAGATAGTCAAGGCATTTTGAAGGAACTAAATGTCAGAAGCAAACTAGATCAAATTGTTAACCAAGTTAGTGCTAGACATTATTTACTTATAAGATCTGCACTGACCTCGCATCTTTTTCTGGTCTTGGCTCATGAACAGAATTAAATTATATCAGTGTATTGATGTTTTCCGGTGATCTGCTCATGTGGTTTCATATTTATGTTCAATAGCATAGGATGCAGGACAGAACTTTGCTGCATCAGATTTTTCCTTCTGAGAAACAGGTAGACAAAGTCAGATAATTAAAGAAGTTTCCTAGCATAGAATATCTTCGAGGGCCAGTTGCTCTGTTTTACCCTCTGTACACATTTCTCCTTGGGGGGAAAATATGGGGCAGACAAAGTTAAATCTGCTTCACGATGGTCCTGATGCCTTGGCTAGGTGATGGATCACATCGATAGTTTTGGCTCCCACCCTCATGTGCTACCATCAGAGGGCCTTGTGCACAGGTGTTCAGTTCAGTTTGTGAGAACTAGTTGTTAAAATGACAAACTGAAGTGAGATACACAATATGGACCCTGTTTCCGATTTACCTCCAGTGATAGTGCTGGCTCTGTCACTCTTACTCTTTGGGCAGCTAGTCTCTTGGCTTAGCCTGCCACCAGGGTGATGGGAGAGAGATCCCAGGTTGGTTGCTCAGCTGGGGCCACATCTTCATTGGTTACAGGTGAGAGCTATAGTGACTGGAAGCCCTGGATGGCAGGCAGGGACTCATCAAACCAGCCCAGCCCCACAGCCTCCCCAGGGGTTTAACAGGTGAAGCTGAGTAAAATTTCTGCCTGTCAGGCAAACTCAGAGTTCATCTGAGAATTGCAGATGATAATTGGAACACATTGCTGCCTAATTTAGATAACACCCCTGGGCTTGGAGAAGGATTCCGTACTTGAGCCCAATCCTGGCCACACATGCCTGCTTCAGATCAGTGCCATATTGCCTTTTCCAAACAAATCTAGGAACTACTTTTGTACTGTACTTCCTACAATAGTCTGATGCTACACTTTAAACTTTGTCAACCATAGGGCCACATTCCCTTATTAATATTCCCAATTTAGTTTAGCTTTTTGTAGCAATATGAGATAGGTTTTGAACATATTTATCTTCATATATCAGTGATAATAATCTGTAATATTGTTGAGGTACATTTTCATTTGCAAACATGTATAAGCTGCAACCAGTGCTGTCCTTTGCTCACTGTAGCTTATTAAAAAAAGAAAGCTTGGCAAATTGGATTTCACTAGCAAAAGAACTATTTATTTATTCATGTTTACATTTCTCAGTCTGACTGTTAACTTCCTCCTTCTTTGCTTCTGCTTGTTTTACAAGCTAAATGCTTGTCTTTGTTTTATGTGTTGCCAATATGTACCTTATCTTTACGAAAGAGCAGAAGGAGCCAAAAAGAATTATGAGCCACAATCTATGCCAAAGTTTTACATCAGTTCTGCATAACTTTCTTAAACTAGACTACAAATCCTAGACTACAAATCCCAGAAAACACTGCGGTAACCTCTATAGACTCCCAAGATTATTTCCTGTTTTGTCTTACTGGATTGTTGCAGCGTTTCATGGAGGTTAGGGAAAGGTTAGTGATTTTAAGTGAGCAAGCTATAACTAGTATTGCAAGATATGGCCAGCAAAGAAATTCAAACAGGTACTGTTTAAAATAGTTATTTTTTAAAATTTAAATACTAATGCTTTTTGAATATGGAGATTTGGGTTCTGTTTTATATCTATTAAATTATACTGATGATTGCTGTTCGTTTTCCTTTGCATGTAGAAAGACATTTCAACAGAGAGTGCTGCACAGATCCTAAATTCTCTTATGTTTCAATTGGGGCTGATTGTTGATTATTTCTTAACCTGTGATTGTACCAAAAATAAGAAATTCAGAGATAACACACTCTTTCTCCTGCTTTCCTTACCAAGAGTTAATGTTAACAAGTGACCAGGAAGTTTCTACGTATTTTTAAATTCAATTGTATCAACTTTTGATTGTGGTGGCAAGAATTTGGCTGGCATTCAGCTCAATTTCCAGGGCATGAATGCAATGGAGGTGATTTGTGCTATTCAAGATATATACACACTTTAAAACAAGCTTTTATAGAACATTATTTCTCTCTGTGACTGATTATTTCTCAGTAATTAAAGCCTGATAAAATAATACATCTGTAATTTTTAACTCTATTATTTTTATAGTATTTACTATTAAGCACAGCCTATTAACTATTAAATGAATTGTTCAAAAGGAGATTGTGAAGTTGATAGGTCTACTGAAACATTTGTAACGTTTGTTAATTTTTTAACCATATTAATAAATGTAGTTCTGCAAGTTTTCCCTTTTCAAAATGTGTACAATCATCAAATAATTATAAAATTGTAGAATGGGTATAAAATTTTTTTAAATCAAGTAGCCATACTAGTTTATTGGAACAGAATATACATTCAGTGAAATTATACATTTCTTGAAACTATTTAGGCACTACTTTTGTAGTATTTGCCATATAAAATGGGAGCTTTGCATTGCACAAAACAGCATTTAGCATATACTACAGTAAAAGTGGGATGAGAATGAGCAAGGAGAACTGGCTTAGGCACTGTCTGTGTGCTTTTGGAGAAGGTTACTGATTAATAATCTGTAATATTTTGTTTCTGACCAGTTATCATCTAAGTTAGTAAAACTATTTAAATGTTACATTCTCTTTTAAAGAAGCATAATAATTCAAACAAAATAAAAATAACATGATCAGGTTGTAAAATTAGTTGAATTATGATTTAGGACAATAGATCAAGTTGCCTCTGATCAAAATGGTTTAGAACATATCTAATAAAAATGCATCTTTTTGTTTTTAGATCCAATTTTTATATTTAAAGTGTGTGAATTATGATATAAAGATTCTACTGCATGCAAACATATTTAACAAGTTTTCAGTTCCTTGATTTGTCCCACCCACAAAAAGGGGGGAAAATACCCAAGGGTGGTTGTGTACTTATGTGTCAATACTCAGCTCCATTAAAATATCTGATTTCTCCATTAATGTCTATGGGTAGCTCTCACATCCATCCCTGGGGAAATTTAAAAATAGTTTAAGTATGATTGCAGATTGTTTGCTCAGACAATAACATAGTTCAATCCATCCTTTTATCTCTTACATTCTTTTCTGCATTCAATTTTTATAGCCACCAATCCATCCTATTCCCCTTCCCACTATGTTCTCATTTTTTTTTCCTTTTGTCCCTAAACATCTAAATAGCATCATGGAGCTAGTAGTGAATTACTTGCTCTCTTCATTCCCTCCCAAAGTTTGTGTGTATTTGTTTATGTTAGGTGTATGTAAGAGAGAGTGTATGGGAGAGAGTAATGCCTACAGAGCTTGTGTTTAATTTGAATCTGTGAGAACCCTTCTAATTGTGCATAGATGGCAAAGTTCTGGATTCAGTTCCATAAACATATATAGGTATGGCTTTAGTTTCACTAACATGGAAAGATTTGAATCTGCATTTTTTAAGGCACTAAAAAAAAGAGTATATATAATGGCTTTGCATAATAGCCTCTTAAGGAAGTTGATATTTGGATTTTCTCTATCTCTGATTCAAATTTCTTTTGCTTTTTTTTTTTTTTTGCATTTTGTATAATGTTGCTTAATCTGAAAAGAAATAGTATGGTGTGTATGTCTATTTTGAGTTGCTGTAATATGACTTAACCCACTAGATGGTAGTAAAAGCGTTTCTTTAGCCACCCTTCATTTTCAAGTTTTGTTATTTGAATTCATTTTCTTGCAGATTGATGGTGTCATCTCCAAAAACTCTTTACAGTGTAATAAAACTTGTCAATCATAGATGTGCCAAACAGTACTTTGTTGTAAATGGCATGTGCGTACCCCTCCCCAAAAAAGTCTATCAGTTTTTAGTTTCCATTCCATGGAAATACTGTTTTACTCTAAATAGCAGCACAGTCTGAAGCTTCATATGACCAAAAGAAAATATATTTCCTTGGACTCTCATTATGGTGTTTTTAAAGTAGATTATTGTCTATTGTAATTTCTCATGCCCCATCTGATATCTCTGGAATAAAATTAACTAGAAAAAAAAATTTTTTTTTTACAAACGCTCCATTGTTTGTATTGAAATCCTTCAGGTTTTCTCTAGATTCA